AATAAGGCAAGATCTTGGCAATGTCGGTCGTGGTGGACAGGAAGAGCGATAGACCGTTCGCTATCAGAACTATGCCGACGGTGTATAGAGGCACAGCGGTCGATGAGGTCTCGTGCAGTACATATCCCAAGCCTCGACCAGCCAGCAGTCCGAAACAACCAGCGATTAACGTGATCGCGGCTTCCGCAGACGTTTTCATCATACCAGGCGGACCTGGTCAACGATACAGTTTAAGTATAGGAAGCACAGTCAGGGTCATAATATCTCAATTTTGCCGGGCTTGCACGATTCACTCTGGATCAATTTGGGCAAAAAAGTGAACTAAAATTGGGCCTGACCCAAGATCCGGAATGAATCCTGTAAACCAGGTTTTGAGTTATGGTGGTCCTTCGAAAACGATTAGGTAACTAATAACGAAGAACAGACTTAAATGATGGACAATCAGCTGCACAGAATCAATTAACTGTGCACGGCCGCGGCACACAAATGGAATAGCGAACCAATATTTTGGGCCTGTCACCTTTTATGAACATAAACGGTATAAAACGAGCAGCGTGAACCAAAAACTCGCTAGCAGCATACAGTATGAACGAAATGCTTCCCCAAATGTTAGCACTCATAATGGAATGAAAGGTTCGGCTCACAGACGTCGGACACAGTTTGGCCCAACCCTTCAGTTCGTCTTTAACGTCGGACACGGTCATTATTCTTGTCATAAGTAGCGGATACAAGTATTCTCTGTCCTGTTACGCGGTTTGATAATATGTACACGCCTGATATTATTATATTTAAGCTACCTTTAGGTTTTCGTCGAGCAAGTGAAAGATGTTGCCGGTGAAGAGTACGTCGTCTCGGTACATAGGTCTAATGCCTACTAAAGTCGGTCCGAAGAAGCCGTGCAAGTTGTGACAGTACGTGTCAGGCTCTTTTACCGTGTACAGCCTTCCCAAGTGATGCAAGCCGATCGACCTCAGGGTGTCTGTTCGACTCAGCACCGGGGTATCGACCGTAAACGGCACTATGCGCAACCTGTGACAAACGAAACCGTGATAAACATGCTTTCTAATACGAATATAATATTAGGAAAGGTTGCTGGTTAGAATGCAGCTCCTAATCGTCTTTACTGTCGATTGCCGACGGTATTCCAAACGGTGGGAAACTGACGGTTTTCTATCAAATATTGCGCGTTCTTTGCGACGGCCACTGAGTTCATCTGCAAGGAGTGCTCTACGACGACTTTAGGTCCGTCGTCGACCACTTCGATTTTCTGTGGTACTGGCGTGGTGATGAATATCCAAAATACAAACGTATATACCGTCAACACTGAGGTGGTACAGTGCATAGACGTGGAGATCATAAAATTATAGTTATCACCTAATCAATGGTGCTTAAAGGCTTTTAGATGCTCCGACTCGAACGTCGTAGCCAAGGTATCTTTAAAAATGCACTGCGCGAGACAGTCAGATGAGGTTATGCTCAGTCGCACACAATTTGCATTCATAGATTTAATGAGAAGTTTCAGTTACTATTTATAAATAGGCATAACTTATCATTGCACTCTTCAATCCCCGAGTAGAAATTTAAATCAGTATTGACTCAGAATTGGATCTTAATAACCAGATTTGAAGTCGGAATTCGATCCGGTTGCCATTGAAAATGTAATGCAGCCATGGCACGACTCCGGACCTTATCAAAAAGTTTCGGAATACATAGGAGAAATCCGAATCGAATCAGAATAATGTAAGGAATATCGGATCAGGAAATCTGGATGTGACTAAGACAACTTTAGTAGATGTGAGGACCTATAAGTGAAACCTAAATGACATTTCCATTCGGACCGGTGCCAAGACATAACTCGACTCCTGATCATCGTGACACTGGCGAACTTAAAACGACCAAAGTGCCAGTGCCAAGGAAGTGATGGTTTCATATTAAACTCTTCTGACTGTTCACCGCGGTGACATCATTACAGGGTCTGTCTGGCTCAACAACGAGCCCATTAAGATAACGATCCATTTCTCGGTGTCGTACTTACTCATATTGATAATCAAGGCCGTCTTCCAATCGGCGTAGAGAATGGCGTACTCCGTGAATGGCGCCACTATCAGCATGCCGCTGAAACTGCCCAGATGCACGCACAAATGGGCTTTTTGCCGGGACAGATTGTATAGCAACGACAACAGGATGGTAAACGACGTTCGCAACAGACCCGCGCCAGTTCCTTTAATTTTTATAATCGCAACAAAATACAAATGTAAGGTTAATGAAATACAATCACGGTGAATTGTTTTATCTCGCACAACATTTTCATCGATAGACACGGGTTCCAAACCGGGGCCGGTGAGTGTTAATACGATGATTTGTGGAGAAAACCAGTGTAGTAGGGTACGTGATAGGTGACAAATAACAATATGATGGTTTACTGTGAATAGTATGAATAATTTCGGTCTTTACCGCCGACGACGGCCAAGAACAATCCTAGATTGTCGACCAACACTTCGGCGACGGACCACAGACACGCTGACCAAACAATTGTCAGCAGTGATCCCAAAAACAACAAAGTTCTGAATCCATGTCGGTTGACCAAGGCACAAGCTAAAGGCCCTAAAGAGGTAACAACATAAAAAAACCCGTAAGAAATGTATCGGTTTGGAGCTAAGAAACAATTATTTTGGACAAGCCAAAGCAAAACTATTTTCAAGTATCCGTAACAATTTTCAATGTTGCATTAAACACTGTGAAATTTCGAAAAATGTCAATTTTTTTTGTGTGTTAATATATTCCCAGTTTTGGATAGCTATTTATGAAGTTATTGAAGTTTTAAGTTTTGGGCAAGAGCAAAGTAAGGTCCTTCAAGAGTATCCACATTTTATCCAGATACATGGATATGTCCTGATAATTATATGACTATTTCCGATCTATAATCTCTTTGCGATTTGTGATGATAGTCTTAATATTATTATAGTCTTAATAGCCTTAATAATTTATAGTCTTAATTATATGTTCTGGCCAAAAGTTTTATATATCTTATCTATATATATATATATACATACACAAAATAATATCTTATTTCTAATCTCTCATCTCTCATATTTTATCAGATAATTATTTATCAGTTCTTTATTGCAAAAAACAACTGCTAGATCGCTACACACGTATATATTTTCCTCGGTAACGTTCAACGTGACGCACAGTTTTTCTTATTGACCCCGAGCCAAAAGACATATCCATGTCAATAATTAGTTTTGAGGGGGGAAACACAAAAAAAAAATTTTGAAAATTCAGATCTCATCGTATAAAAACAATGCGAAAAAAAAATTAACGATAAAACGATCACCCTGTATATATTAGGGTCTTATAAACCAAGTAATTTACCGACGCCGTAGAAGAACAGTGCGTACATGGCCATGTGTTCCAAAGTGCGCGTGCCGGGTGGCACCTTTTCGATAGTGCCGACGCGGGAGTCGAACAGGAACAGCGAAATGAACACGCCGTCGCCGACGAAGGCCGAAACGAGCGCCATCAGGCAGGTGGCCCGGGCCCACGCGTCGTTCTCACGCGAACACTGCACGACGAACAGGCACGACGTGTCGTCGAGCTCGGCCGACAACATCAGCTGGTCGCCGGACGTGGACGAGTGGGCGCTGTAAACGTCGCTGTTGATGTTGTAGAAGTCGACTGAAGTCAGGTCGCCGCTGGTCAAGCGGGCTGCCGAGGCCGTGGGCGACAACGGTCTGACCGCAGATTCCCCGGCCGTGCCGACGAACGTCCATTCGTCGGCGGCGGCCGCAACGTTGGCCACCGCGGGGTTGGCCGTCGAGTCGTTTTCGCTGTTCAGGTTGGCCACTGAACTGTCCTCGGGCGAGACGGTTGCACTGTTGGCTTCCAGGTCTTCGTTGGCCACTATAGGCCAAGCTGTCGCATTGTTTTCGCTGTCCACGTTGGCTACCGAACCGTCCTCGGGCAGAACGTCTGCACTGTTGGCGTCTGGGCGAGGCAAAGACATTTAAGATAAGAAAATTGTCAAAAAATAGTCAAAATTTAACAAAAAACAAAACAAAACGTATTAATATTAAACTTATTATTCGAAAATGAAAATAGTAATCAAAATAAAAAGTGTTTCCATAACGCTAAACTTAGTAAAAAAAAAAACAATAGAATAAAAACAAGGTTTGTATTTCTCCCAGCGTTTTTTTTTTATTACTATAGTTTCACTTAATTAGAAAAAAAAATTAATTTTTAAATGATCCTTAATTTAAAAAGATATATTAGCATAATTATTATGCATTATATGATTTATAAATAACCCTCCCAGACTGTGATAATAAAGGTGCCATTCCTCCTGTTGTCTTATTCTATTTCTAACTCCGTAATTTTACACAAGGGTGTAAAATTAGATTGAATGCAATAATGAGAAAATGTTATTTATGTGCAGACAGTGATTTCTTGATCGAAGACGTTTTAAAATGAAAAATAAGCGGAGAGAAATTGTAATTTCTTGGCAAATACGTTTGCTATAATTGGCATTATAGTTGTATAAGTAAAGTTTTATAATTATTATAATGTACAATTAATAATAGATTTTACACAAAAACTAACCTTTTTTTCGGTTAGGGTTTTCGTGAGTAGCTTTTTCAATATTTTTCATTTACAACCTATGTGACTATACGTTTTTTTCACTTAAAAATCAATTAATTTTTACTGTTCATAATGATCTACTGAAAATGTCGAATTTTGATCGCACAATTTATATTTTTATAAAAAATCCAACACAAATTTTAACAAAGTATTGGTGATATAACATCTGTTATAGATGTAACAATTGTAGTAAAACCATGTACTCATACAACATTTGTGTATTTTTTTTAAAAACGATCATTATTTTACAAATAACATATTAATTTGCTTCTTACATAAATAAAACTGTTTCTATATTATTGTCGGCAAAACACTTGCCAAATAAAGTATATTATTATGTTCAATTACATTTTAGTCTGTATATTTTATGGTTGTCGATCGTACAGTGTTTTTCAGAATAAAAAAAAAATCATACATACATTATGCAAAATATCGCAATTTTTTGTATAGCAGTAATTATCTTGAAAACATCTTTGGGTAATTTGTATTTTTATCACAATAGTTTATACATAGAATGATTATCCGAAATTAATCAAACTCTATAATTATATGGTTTTATGGTATCTTATTAAATTAAATATTGTTTTAAAACAAGTTGATCACACAACTAATTTTTTCCCATAAAATTATTTACGTTAGTACACTATATTATGAATTTATTTTGATACCCAATTTTGTTGTTTGTATTTAGTCACACAAGGTTTCCCGACACCACCGGGTAAGTAACAAACATTAATTAATAGCCTGTTATATGTTTTACTTCTATTTTTCATACCTATTTATTTATATATTATCTTGTACGTTGGTACTGATTTATTGTATGTATAATGTGATCAGGAAGTAATCTAGGTCTAAAAGTAGATAACAGCACCCTCACTCACCCTATTTCATTATAAATATGTTTTTGGTGTATTGCAACACCAAGTTAATAACAAATGCGTGTAAAATATTATACATACAATTACTATGATGCTATATAAAATAATGTAATTTTATTGGTAGCAAACAGTACTTATTTTTATTATTTGTTGGATTAGGTGCAGAAGTTTCGAATGTTACAAAAGGTCAGTAAAGACTATTGTTTTATTTCCAGTTGTATTATATACAGAGTGTTTCACAATGACTCGACAGTTGAAATAACTTTTGTTCTAGTGAATATTTTAGAGTTTTTTTTTAAGTATTAATTTATACTCATTTGCGCGATTCAAACTATATTTTGTACTTCTATCAATTCAAGAGAGGATGTGGAGCGCGGTAGAGTAATATACGCAAACAGTAATTTTTGTGACATTTGTTCAAATAGATGAAAGTGATCCGAAGACCACAGAAGGTCAGTAAAGAGTTATTTCATTTTTTTTCCCCATTTTTTTTGCGACATATTATGTGTACCAGTTTGCTTTTATTGTGCACAAATATTTATTACAGAATTACTCGCCACATTTATTTTAAGATATTTTTTTTAATAAATTACATTATTTAGAGTATACCTATGATTAGTGAAAATGTATACATTGGTAAAAAAAATATTTTATGACAAAAAATAAAAACGTAGGAACGTAATTTACAAGTGGTATTAAAAAAAAAAGTTATTGCAATAGTGTTTAAGCCTATTCTATTGTTTACCGAACGATTACTAAACCACTAAGCTGGAGATATGACTCTTTATGTTTAACAAAGAGTTTTTGATTTGTGTAATTTGTTGGATTAGATGGAGTTGGTTCGAACGCATCGAAAGGTCAGTATAATACTCAACTAAGGTCAGGAGTTGTAATTTTTAAATATCAAATTCCCACTTCTGATATTTAATAAATAAAAAATAAATTATTTTTCTTAGGTTGTGGGCCAAAAATGAAAAAAGGTACGCCATTTTAGAAAATTAAGAAATCATAAACATGTTTTAAAACTTAGGGTTAGTAAAGTTGCGCGACCTCAATGTAGTTACACTATTTTATGGTCATTTCAACTTTTAAAAAATTTAATTATGATTCATAATTTTCATTTTATTTTTTAAATATATAATACCTACTCAATTTTCTTAATTGTTTGCGCAGGTGCCAAATGCGTGGGTATGGCCGCGAAACAGGGTTGTATTTGCTTTGTAGACTGCCTAGCTTGTCTGTTTGGTAAGTATCTAAATTTAAAAAATGTTTATTTTTAATTAAAAGTTAAAAAAGTATACGTAACTAATTTGGTGATTCACTTACCTGATTATTTAAAAGTAAGTAAATATATTTAAGAAATAAATTTAAACTCTTCAGCTGACCCTCATGCGAGACATACAAGTGGCGGTGTTTGTAGTACACCTTGGGCAGGACCTTGTCGTCCTTAATCATACGGTAAACTAATCTAATCGTTATAAAATATTATTTCTTAATTTATATGAACAATTTAAAAACAATTTTAATTTACAATGTTTTTATTTAACAATAGTAACATTAAAAAAATTAATTATATTTAAACTGTGCATTAAATAAAGTTTTTTTTTTTATTACAGAAAAGATCCAAACATATTGCAGAATTATATAATTGCTTGTGAATACATTTAAATGTGCACAATTCATTTGTCATTTGTATAAACTTATACTTCACAAGTTCATTATAAACTGTTATTATCTAGTAAATTAAAAATATCTTGTTTCGTTGTAGTACAAGTATGCAAACTTGGTTAATATTTTCACCAGATAATATATTTGTTTTGTTCAAGTACCAGGTGATTGGCTAACTATAACTTTAAGAGTAATTAATCAAAATTGGTTGCCGACCAACCCAAAATTTTAACAAATTATCCTTCTTTTAAGAAGTTATTTTTAATAAAGGTAACGAGATAAATGTCAAATTTTAAAAATTGAGGTTAGCTTATAAACCGGGTAATTGGATAATTCTGAGGTACAAGCAAACTGTTTCAGAAGGTAGTAACAGTGGCGCCTATCAATTGGAATTAAGTGGGGACAATTTGGAACATTTGTACTTGGGTGTCAACTGTCAACATATTTTTCTAAGGTGTTAGTAATTATAAGAGGGTTAAAACCATATTCCCATTAACTAAAATACACAAAACCATAATATGTAAGTCAGATTAGCCATAATTACAGAAAAACAAGGTTTAATAAAAACTCTTGTATGGTGCTTGCATTAAACACTTGTAGTATTCTGCCATATATTAGAAGAGATTATGAGTAATGAATTAGTTGACTTTGCATTTCGATATGTTGACTTTTTAAAATATGCCTACAGTACTTAACTTTTAAGAAAATGTGACTTACGCCACTATGGTTACAATCCTCTCAGTTATTGAAGTCTTTATGTGTTAGTACATCAGAAATTGATAAAGTAATTTTTAAATAAACGCTACCATGCGAATCTGTGGACAATAAGTTCAACCCAGTTTAGTTCAAATCAAACACAGTATAAATCAGCAAAGCAAGAACGTATTAAAGTGAGGTGCGGTGTTTACAAAATAGCATCAAAGCATTTAACTGAAAGTGGTTTTATCACTTTTGATAATAACAATTCCTGTACACCTGTAACCAGTTCCTTTTTTATATACTAGGTGTGAATCAAAAAAACAATTTGGTTTTTTTCATATTATAGCTTATCGCTTAGTTTAGACGGTATATACGTTTTAAAGTAAAATACTCACTTGGTTTTTGTTCGTTACTTTTTTTTTATAATACATTGTTTATACAAGTACAATTATTCATTGTAAAACAATATCTTCCAGCTTCACATCGAAGCTAAAAATTAAATAATTACTTTACACGTGTATAATATAACAGCGAGGTGTGCTTACAAATTAAATGAGGAGAAAATGCGTGGCAAATAGTCTAAAACGAAAATAAATAATAAAAATATAATATTAATATTTTGAAGTGATAATTTATTTAATTTAAAATTTGCAGTTATGACATGATTACCAAATAGGTTTTTATAATAATAATGTTGTTTAAATTTTAAAAACATTAATAACACGAGTTACAATGGTAGTATTAACCTAGACACTATTAACTACACAATATAGACTACAAGAAATCGAAATCAATCAATAAAACCTAACCTCTCCATATCGTTTACCAGTTTGATTTCATCAATATATTCTATGAGTAATTCAATGAGTCTAAAATTAACATTTTTGAACGCCCGACAGAGTTGCAGAAACAACCCCCTAGCCTTTTCTAAACTGTAATACTCAACCGGCACATGGTTAATTGTATTTGCCAAACTTATTGTACCAGCATTCGACGAACTTGCATCAGACACCTCAAATTCTTTACTGTCTTCATTGAATGGTTCGCCAGCCTCACACCCGAGAGACTGACAAAGCGATACTAGTATTGAATATATATCCCTAATCACATTATCTATATACTCTGTTCCATTAGAGAGATTATTGATGGCAGATAGCAAGTTCATTACGTGTAAATCATTCGTTAATCTTAAAAATCTACCAAATATTTCGACCTCGTTGTACCATTGAGTAAACTCGTGTTTATTCGAAAATTCTGAATAGTGTTGTAGATATTTCAAGTGTTTAAACGTCAGCCGGAACATGATAACTTTAAGAAATGCATAGCTCAGCGTATAGTGTGACTTTATATTTTGAAGGTTGTCAATAGACCAATCCAGTGTATGCGCGTCACGATAAGATGTTTCTAATCGTACCATGGTTATGTCTTGCCAGCTCGCTATTGCTCTGCTTATATACCTTAAATCACATTTTCTAAAAAAAAGACTTTGCATTCGTAACTTCTTTACAAACTCTTTACTAAACGAATCCTCTAATGTGTTGTTTATTTTCAGCAGTTCCGTGGCCTCAATGTTATTGGTGTGCACCATATGTTCCAATACTTTTTTTGGCGGATAAGGTTTTAAGTGAATCATATCGTAGAACCTATCATAAGAATTATCTTTATGGCATCCCCTTAGGTCTTTAAGCAGTTTAATGATGACATACTTGTGAGTTGCTTCAAGTTTCTGATAGTCTGCCGGTATATTCTTTGAACGTCTATCGAAATCAGTTACTAATCCCGCGTACAAGTGTAGTAGCCACAGGGATCCCATATTCCGTATTCCTAATCTGTACAAATGAGCTATCTGGAATCGAATGGTACATTTATAATAACTTACGTCACTGGCCGTCAGTGTTGTTGGCGTATTATATGGAGGGACCAATAATATCAGAGTTAGCAGCATGTGCTTTAATCCACTAAACAAAAATGTGCATTTGAAATAATCAGACTGACTATAATTTCCGATATGATCATTGCTGCGATATTCGTATCTGATATCCACTAATTGTACTGGTTGAAAAAGTAATAGCGAAAAACAATAAATAATTTTCTTGAGTATTGACGAGTGCTTCATAGTTCAAAATTCAATAGCTACTCTAGCAGTGATAGTTTGTATGTTCTGTAACACTTTAAAACTTCTGTGTATTTTAACGAGAAAAATCTGTGTTTAAATATTTATCTAGAATTCGAGACTACAATTATTGTAACTTATTCGTCGATTAACAGCCGTTTTAAACAGTATAATATTTGAAACTCGCACTGGCATTTAAAATATTGGTACAGTATAGTATTTGAAATTTGCATTGACGCGGGACAATTGCTCCTATAGACGTTATTCTTATTAACACAGTCGTTTTAAATGTTGTTAAGAGTTTGTCTTTTATGGTAAAATAACGAGTGGTAGTTTACATAAATCAGTTGTTTTCTATAATATTTAAATTGCCAGCCAACAATATGTAATCGCATTAAAACGTGATTGTTTATCCATCGTTTGGCAATAGTTCCCACAAGTGGTACTGCGACCTCAATTATTTTGTGTTAACATTCACCCATAGACGTCAGAGATAGGTGACTGCAGTTTTAAAAAATATTTTTTACGCAAACAAATACAAATCTAGCATGCTAAAGATAAGTTTTTACCAATTATGAAAATTCACTCATTTAATACCTTTTGCTTATTATCGCCAGATAATTATTAATAAATACTCAATTCGAATACTAATAAATACATTTTTGTTTAATAACCTGTTTTATATCAATGGTGGGTCGGGGCATAGAGGGAACAGAGAGGTCACAGGTCTACAGAAATTATTATAATTAAAAGTGATAATTCACTCATTTAATACCTTTTGCTTATTATCGCCAGATAATTATTAATAAATACTCAATTCGAATACTAATAAATACATTTTTGTTTAATAACCTGTTTTATATCAATGGTGGGTCGGGGCATAGAGGGAACAGAGAGGTCACAGGTCTACAGAAATTATTATAATTAAAAGTGATAAAATTGAATAAAATTACTTTCAAATGAACGCTTTGATGCTTATTGGTAATTACAGCACCTCAATTAAATATTTTCTAACTTTGTTGGTTTACACTGTGCTTGGTTCGGACTGTAGTGGTTTGAAAATACTAACTACTGATTTGCATCGAAGCGCTTATTCGAAAGTGATTTTATCACTTTCAGAATTTAAAAATTCTTGTAAACCTGTCACCTCCCAGTCCCCACTGTACCCCGACCCAACTGTACTGTTTTTTTTATACCAATAGATTGTTTTACGTCATCATTGTCTATAATGAGTAATATTTTTGGGGGTTTCAAGTTTAAACAGTAGAAATGAATTTACTATCCACAGACTTTATGTATAAAGATAATTGGTTTCAAGGTTGTATAATTTTGTATTATTACAAACTAACAATTTTTTTTAAAAAACACACTTGTGTAAACTAATTATCAATTATATTTATTATATAATTAGTTTTATACAATTTAAGTACTAAATAATTTATCTGTAAATTAATTACCGTAAAATTTGAAGTATTATTTCTACAATTTTTGTACAGCTTTATTATTGTTTTTTTATCGAAAACAAGTTTCCTACATAGGCATTTACAGTGTTCACAATTACACACACTTTTAGGTGTTATAAACTTTTATGTTCTAACATATTTACCTTCTTTACGGTTGTTGTTTTTTGAAAACAAGTTTTTTTATTACGCCAAATTTGTATTTGCTATAATATTTGTAACAATAAGGTGCTATCAAATAAGCAAATTCAAACGTTAAAAACACAAATAATAAAAGAAGATAGGGGCAAAAAATATCTTGTTTTCCCTAAAAAATAGAATAACAGTAAAACTATCAAAATTATATATGTATTATACAATCGCTTCCTAAATGTGAAATCTAAAAAAATGGGCGAACCCTTGGTTAACAGTTATATATTATTTTGTCTAAATAATCAAACTATACAAAAGGGGTGTCTTAGGATTTAGTACAATACAGATATTATAAAGAGAGTTAACAATTTTAGTTGAATACAAGTTAAACTCGGATTAAATTGATTATGATCGTTAGATATAAATAAACTTATGAATAACTTTCAAATTAACATTACAAAAATAATAATTTTCAACGATGTGCTTGAAATTGTATTTTTTTTTTAAAAGAGTCTATACGATTATGGTTCATAGTCCGTCTATATTAATTTATTACCATAGTTATCCAAAATACCTGCCAAACAGAAGATTTTCTATCAACGCACTCTACGCGTGGTTTATTATCTTAATTA